TGATCTTCTCCATCGCACGGCTGTCTAGTTTTTTCTTCCAATGTTTGCTTCGAAACGGAACAGTGGATTGTTACTCCCAGGAACCATCACGTAACAATCCAATCTCTCGCTGTCCTTAGCGCGAGCAAGATGGCCGAAGTTGCAGTCACCATCACCAGCACCGCAGGCGCCAAGAATATAATCCGGACATCTCGCATTAGGTGGTGCCACAAACGGGATCATGGTTTCTGCGAACTTCTTCTTCAAACCAGCATATCTTTCCAACAACGCACTGGCCTTAAATTTTGTTGGATAGGGTTCGTCCTGAAATTCATCAACCAAAGCAAAGAAGAACTCGTTAAAGGCGATTCCTCGAACACCATTTTTTCGCGACGCACAGAAAAGCGCATGAGCCACTAAGTTCTCGAATTCGCAGTAATTGTTTTTGAGAGCATTTGTATTTCCGTGTGGTTCATTGCCAATTCGTCTGCGAAACTCATCAAAAACACTAGCTGTTGAATACTTCGTCCCGGTGTTGTAGTCGTAGTACGCCGAAAACTCCTTTCCACCGAGCACGGCGAGGTACAGCAACACGTCTTCCTCAATGACTGAGAAACGACAGATTGGCATCCAGGGGGTTTCATCCACCTTTTTTAATCTGCCCCCTGAAACAACCACATCAGTAATTTCTTCATCAACCAAGTTCGCAAAATGCACATGCATGCTCTGAACCCCCACTTTACTATTTTTCAAAGGCGGTTCACTCCTGTCATCATCACCACTGGTAGCATAAATCGTGTAATCAGGAAGTTCGACGCTGGCATTGGTGTACGATAGCGCCATCAGCTGCGCATGTCTCCCTGACTCAGTGTTCATGAAGCCTTTGGCATCCTGAGCCTTGACACATACCGCCTTGAACGCTGCGTCTAGCATGTCCGCCAAAGCAAATATTTAATTTTCGCAACTTCCTCCAGAGCAAATTGTACCACAGCGTCCACAAAATACCGCGAGAACAGACCACGAGAATTATCAGCAATGTCCTTCACGACGGGATGCAACTTTATCACCTTCTGCCACGATTCTTCCTTCGCAGGATCGCTGAAGGGAATAGACTGGTAAGTTGGAAACTAGAGACAGCGGTCATCCACCAATGAGAGCCTGTGCGACTGTGCTGTGACTGACTAACCAGGTTCGAAATCTTGGCGTCCGTGCCCATTACAATCACGACCAGACCGCAAGCACGAAAGACATTGCGTTAAAACGCCGCTAATTTCATCATGTTCGGAATTTCCCCGCTTGGCGTCATTTCATCCAAAATGAAGAACGGCTTTTCCGATTGTTTATTTTAGTGCGCGCATCAATGACATCTTTCAGACCACACTTGGCCACTTCAAACATTTCGTTTTCAACGCGGATCATCTGTGCGCCAACATCTGCACGGGAATAATACCTCAACAGTTCGATAATGAAGCCATACGTCCACAGTTCCTGCGTGGTGTAAAACGACGAAGCGCAGTTCAAAATCTCTGCTTTTGGTAGCTTCTCCAGCCCGTCCTTCTTCACAACAGATTCGAAGGCAGTCGCGATGGATGAAAAGTTCCAATACACGCGTTGCATTTCTTCCCCCGCAGAAAGAAGAGGCCAATAAAACCACGGCCGTGGATGTTTGCGTCCTTCACCTCCCAATGAAAACGCCAGTTGCGACTTCCCCATTCCAGATGACCCTTCCACGCAGATGAAAGGCTTCGGATGAGACCCTTCCTCGTAAATGGTGTCAATTTTGTCGCGAATTGCACCACAGCAACTGTGGCACTTGATTTGGATCTCTTGCCCAAAGCGTTGGTAGTACGCCAGCTCGGCCATGAGCACTTCATCTTTTCTCTCCCTCACCTCAACGGTAGTTGTAATTCCTGGAACCACCACCAGCACGTTCACATGGCCCCTCCCTTCTACTTCCTCGTCTTCATCCACTCCACCGACATCCACATCCGACAACTGCACACGCCGAAGCCACGCTCGCGCCGCTTCCAGCAGCTTCAGACCAGTTGTATCAATCACATCCTTTTTCACTTCTTCTTCAGTCAGCCACGGACCGCGACCCTCATCCTTCTTCGCCAGGAAGAGCTGCAGGTTTTTGGCGTCTGTTAGAATGAACGCTGTAGAGTAGCTCTCAAAACAGTTTATTTACTTTTACTCTTAAC